TGTCATAAGCGTTTTTAGTTTTGGAAAACTGAACAACTCTGTAGAAAAGTTTGAGACTTTTTATAAAGGACACAAACAGTTCTTCATACACCTAAGATAGTGGCAATTAAAACAATGGAGTGAGTAGTCTCTTCTGAAGTTAAACCTATATTAAGAGAAGAATGTATGGGACATTAAAAATCATTCCAAGTCACCACATATACTAATTTTCATCCATCTCTGTGAAATTTCATTTAAATAAGCTTCACAGATGGGAATTCACCAGATTCTTCATCTCTTAGGTTTGGTGAATTAGATTCTGTACCTGGTTTTGGGTATTTAACTAGACCGGAGGCAGGCTCTAACCCCTGACATCTTTCCCAGTATCTCAGCAAGGTCTACTCTCTTGCATTTTACTTCACAACTCTTTAGGAGCATAAAGTACATGCATGGCAAACATAGAGAAAATCAAAGACTTTGCTTGGAGGTCTAAAATGTTGCTTCTGCTCTATAAATTTTTCAGAAAGCTGTCTTGCTTTCTCAGTTTTCATACCAGTCTGAGGGAGATCTGTGCACTAGGGACCACAATATTTTGGGGTTGTACAGAAGCATGGCTCAGCAGTTATAACTTCTTATATGAACTGGGAAGTTCTTTGAACTCACAGTGCTTCATCTGACTTTATTATTTTCACAAACATTCTGTGTCCCTCTTGAAAAAAAAATGTTGACCTTCTCCTGTTCCCTATTCTCACCAACAGCTTCTCCTTTCTTAGCGATGTTATCAAGTTTATACATCTATTCACTGATGCCTAGCCTCTGTTTCACCAGGTTTGCATAGTTAAGACTGACAATTATCTATTATACTTCTGTAAGGATTATGTTTGTCATATCACCTGAAAAAGGTTGACTTCCTACACAAATACTGTTGTCCAGTAGCACAGAAATCCTCTTGCTAGCAATGTTGTGATTAGAACCCCAAATTTCTGACTAGGTAGGTTCCTCCCCTCACTAGTGAAAGTACCACCTTCACCAGCAGAGACTCAGGCAATCATCTCACCCTACTGCCTGAAAAACACCTGTAAGGAATGAGCTTAAGCCCACTGTGCAAATTTCTACTGCATCATTCTTTATGTAAAGTGGTTTCTAACATAGACTTTGCATGAAAGATGTTTCACTTCTCACTTGGAAAAGCCCATTAAGGAAATATGCTTGTGAGTAAACAAACATTAGCTGCTGAAAATTGCATTGAAAATAAATGCAGAAGTGAACTCAGTAGTTCATTAAAGTCAGCTTTTAACAATATTTGTACAGTGCACTTACCTGTTTCAGCTACTTTTTACCATATGGCTGTGTATTGAGTTTGAGTGAAATATTAACAAGCACTGGCTATAAAAAAGTATTACACAGCATGCTTGACATATGGTGAGGAAAACCAGGACATCTTGTTGAACCACATTTGTAGTCATTGATCTAAGGCTATACTTTAAGGCCACGTGTTCATCAGAGTAAAAGAAAAATCAAATAATTACAAAGGATATGGAAGTTAATTTGAACAACAGGTTTACAGTCAAAGGTCATTTTGGGTTAGAAGGGACTTCTAAGATTGCTTAGTTGATCCCCATCCCCACTGAAGGAAAAGACAAGTTAGACTTATTCCTGTAACTGTGACCCTCACTGTATAGAGATGGTTTGTAAAACCTATCTCTGTAACTATTTTGTGGAGTAGGTAGGTATCAGTTTTGGTGGTAAACTGTATGGTTCTGTCAGATGAAATAAATTCTCTAAGAAAAGATGACTGCAGTATTTCTTAAGGAAGAATAGAGGTTTCTTGATGTCCAAAATTCTAAAAGGCATTTCCAATTGCTCCCATAGTCAGAATCAGCTGCTGGTTTTCTAGTATGCAGACTTAAGTCTTATAAGGCATTTCAATTGGCTGTTAGGAATGTCTCTTCTGCTTCAGTCTTCTTCCAGAGATATTAACCTTCTTGATGTTAGCAGTTGCTTTCAGACATGTCTATGGTAATGGGAATCAAGAAAATAGTATGGGTTTAGGCTGCTACCAGTATGAAAGTGAACTTGGTACAAACAGCTAATCTTATTCTGCTCTATGCTCTTAATCTCAGACCAAGCTGCAGTTCACAGCTACTGAAAATGTTGTGGTTGTAGAAAAGCTGAAATAAACCTACTGTAAGCCCTTAAAATCTCTGGTTGATAGCAGAGGTGAGGAATTAACAGAAAGACTAATCACCCTATTTGCCAGTTGCTCCTGTGCTAAAATGGCATGTACCTCACTCATACATAGTAAAGCAGGTCAGTGGATTGGAAAAGTAGATTTTCCTTAGCCATACCAGAAAAATTCAATACTGAAAACAAACTCTCTACTTGCTCGTGAAAAATGGTCATCATGAAAGTTCAGTGAACTATGTTTTAGGTGCCTATAAACCACTGAGTAGATGTTTGCACATGTTTTCACAAACATTCCACCAACTTCAGTTGAATCCCTACTTTTTTCCAGTACACTAAGATGCTGCTGCTTATGACATGCACCTAGTTGAGACAAATGTATGGAGATGAATAGAGGCAGTACATATCAGAAAGAGTAACAGCATCTTTTTATGCAAGGTATCCTCTCTGCCATTCAAAAATGTCAGATGACAGTACAATTAAGTCAAATTTTAAAAATACCTAATAGTTTTATGCTCTAACAACATCATGACTCACCATTAAGTTCAAAACTATAAAAAAACCAAAGAAAAAACAACACCAAACAAACAAAAACCCCCAACAACCCAAATTTTTTTAAAAACCCAACAAACAGACAAAACAACAGCAACAAAAAACACAGAGAGAGCACCACAGACAAACAGAACACAAGCCCTTCAAACATTTTGCAGGCAGTATGTATGTGAGAACTCACTTCAGCTGTTTGGAGATCACAGCATGTAAAACAGTAGGTGAAGCAGAAAGAACAGAGACTCATCATGTCACACGTGTATCATATGCTCAGTGGTTTACAGTAAAAGACAAGTCTTGCATGAATTCATAGACATATATAGACTGCCAAGCTGCTGACAAGCTACCTTTCACATACTCAGATGTGACAGTCAGCTTCATAAGCATCGAGCAAGAGCTGGTGAAAATAGAAACTCGTGACCCAAGGTATTTGGCTTTTCTAGGTATTCTTACAGTTATTGCAGTAAACAGTGCTATTGTTCCATTCATAATGAAATAGAGTGGACAGGTCATAGGAGTGTTGTGGAAAGCTGAGCTGCCTCTGCCTAGGGATGCCAGGTGAAACCTTTCAGTGTACAATCCAGTAAGAGGGAAAGCAGGGTAGTGTTTGCCTTGCCTGTAAAATGGGCAGGAAATGCTACCCACACTTGTTCTTTGTTGCTCACACCAAGGCAGCATTTACTCACCAGTATAAAGTAATGACAAGATGACTTCCATTTCAGCAAGGAACAATGATAATCACTATAACCTAATTGCAAAGACTGCAGTGTACTATTTATGTCCATCCACATAAATTCATTTTTATTACTTCAATTTCATTTTCATGAGGAAAAAATAAACAGAAAAATGCAAAATTAACTCTTTCCAGGAATACAGTGGGTTAGATTTCACCCCAGCTGACAGAAGAGCAAGGGCTCATAGTTCCCAGCAGAGTACAAATCTGGAACAGAGAGAAATTGCTTGACCTTATGTACTGACCCTTAAGTATTGCTAAATGGTGCAAGCCAGGGCAGTTCCCAAGCAGCTATTCCATATTAAGCTAACCAATGCTTTAAGAAGCTGCCTCTGATTCTCTGACATGTGCCAGATTTGCCATGTCAGCAAGGACATAGGACATAGCAAGCCTAGTGTGGATTTGTCTCAGCTGAATCCAGTGGCTACAAATGGGTAATTAAAGGTGCAATACATAGATATTAAATTACAGATGATGTCAGAGAGAGATTAGTTTTTCTCCTCCAAAGTAAAATCAATGGCAGTCCTGCTTTTTAAAACCACCTGTCCTGGTGAAACAAGAGAGGGTGAATGCTGATGTTCTGGTCTCCTAGCAGCACTGTAGGTCCACTTTTTGCTGGAATAAATAGCTGCAAAGTGACACTGGAGAAGCAGTTCCCATCCAAATTCAGAGTAATTGCTATGCAAAAGCTTCAATCAGTGGAACTCTTCTAAGAGCAAGGTCATAAGAGAAGTAGCTTCCATGTGAACACCTTTCTTCAATCTTGTTACATCTATTTTAGTAGAAAACACAGCTTACCAAAGCCACTGGTCTTTCAAAACAATATGACAGAACTTACCGAGTGCCCTTGCTTCACTAGCTCATGACTGACTAAGAGGAAAAGGTGTTTCATTTTGGATGTTTTCCCAAATCTGGCATTCCAGTACTAGGAAGCAAAGCAGCCTGGCATGGAAAAGACTCACTTCTTCACCTGAACAAAGGCAAAATTACTGTTTAAAAATAACCAGTGCAGAAATCTATCTGAGCTTCATTTTCACTTTTGCTTCCAAATTCCTCCTAAAGAAAATTCTGTTGAATAATCAGTTCAAATTTGAAACTTTTTATGTAGCACAATATCACAGTTCATGTTTTTTTACCTGACTTATTTGTGAGGTTTTATATAGACATTAAAATTCTCTTATGCAACATAATGTTGACTTATTGCTAGTATTGGGTTGTTTTCGTTTTTTTTGTCTGTCATTTTATTTAATTTCAACCTCTTATTGCTCTTGATATGAAATATCTTCTAGCTGTTGCAATGATACAAGTTATACAAGTGCATACACTGATGCGAGAGGGTACTTCTGGTAATACGCAGTTTAATGTGTTAGAAAATTTGGAAATGGGATATGGGCATGTAATGATGCTTCCAACAGAAAGATAATTGACGTAAGATAGCATTTACAGCTTTTATTCAAATTCCACAAGACTTTTTACTCCAAGCACCATTCCTGATACTGGAACAGTTGATAAAGGCATTCTTAAAGAAAAATCCCTTAAGCAACAGTAAGTCCAAAAGTAAAGTGTATCAAATGCTCTCAGCTGACCTCTCCACAGTGGTAAACCGCATTTCGTGACAGCATAGTTCTCAGTAACTTCAAGAAGATACTGTATCTGAGGAGGCATATCTTTCCATCGCTGCAGTGTAAATACATCCCCATGTGTCCACTTTTTATCCTAAGGCTAAAGTGCTGTAATTTTCTTTTGAAGTCCCCAAAAACTGATGGAAAAAGTGCAAATTATGGCACGCAGATGAAGAATTTTCACGGACTTACACTCCCACTGTCTCTTGAAGCTGTGGCAGTTGACAAGTATAAAGCCTAAGTCTGAGAGTTAAAATCATCACCTTAAAGAAAGAAAATGCAATAGTATTAGTTTAAAAATCTGCAGTGATTTAAGTATAAAAAGCCTGATTTTAACAACTGAGTCGTAAAGAGTGAAAGCTCAGTCTCCTGGTTATCAGGAGACTATCATGCTGAAGTTACCATGGCTCCTTAAAGCTGTTATAATTTAAAAGAACATGGGATCTTTTCCCAGGAAAGAATTACCTCTTTCATCTCTAGTCCAAAGTCTGAATTTTCTATTACAACAAAGCTATCACTCATTTTCAGCCATATAAATGAAATAACAAAACTGAAATCTGTTTAGAGAGCATCCATGGTAATGATTGTCAGTAAATATGTGCATGTGATTAAAAGTGTGCAGAATGGGACTTCAGCGATGAGTTTAAGTGTCCTATATATTCAGTTCTGATACAGCTTGAGCTGTAAGTTAAAACTGGTAACATTAACAGTCCTTGTTACTGGAACCAGGACTGTATGGGTCATTTCCAAGGCACTGTGGTAAAGTATCTGTGGCTTTATGCTTCAACTACCTACTCATCATGGAAAAAAGGTTCTTTCCAGGGTTTCTTAAAAACATCCAATGCTGAGAAATATAAATGTTTGTCATCTGACTTACTGCATGTTGCAAGTAAGACAAAGTTTTTTTGTCATTAAAATGAAGAAGTAAAACCACAAAGAATGGCCTTGTCTCCTTTAATTTCTTCATTTCACTAAGTGCACAGAAGAGGCTACAAAGTGGAAAAATACAAAAGTAATACAAAAAGCCAGGGGAAGCCAAGCTATGCTCGGACAATATGCCATGGAATGATGTCTGGACATGCACCAACGCTGTTCTCCAGAATGCTGCTTGCCTTGAGCTTGTGTTCATTAGTGCATGGCATGATGCCACTGAAGTTTCACACTGTCACATGAAAAATAAGAATGAGCCTTTGCCTGCAGCAAGGTTTCTGGAAGGTGGAAGTGTCTTTCTGAAAGTGTTGTTTCAATTGTAATATCTACTGATGGCAGTGGATCAAACACAGTTAAGATGCAGACATGACAACCTGAGGTGATTTGGAAATCAGCGAATTCATGCTCTCTTCATCCAATCTCTAGCTTTCACCTACAAAATTTATTTTTTAAGCTGGTGACTTTTTCATGTATTTTTTTAGCAGTGAGAAATATGGGTGGATTCTCAAAAAAATCCTGTCCTTGGAAAAGCCCTGAGTTGTCTCTGTGTTCACTTGGTTAGCTGCATCGCAGTATTACTCCATTTGTCCTCCTTGGCAGCCTCAGGGCTGACCTCAATTCACTATGTGAGGGTCTGCTTGGACACCAAGGGAATTATGGCTGAACCAAGTACCTCTGTACCTAACACTGGCCACAGCCTCTCACCTCACAGTGCATTAGCCTGTCAAACTGTTGTCTCTAGGTAACAAAATTGATTTATGTCAGTAGGTATATTAAGACTTTTCTTGTCATATTGATTTATGGTTTTCTATGGTCATATCTTTTTTTTTTTTTTCAGTTTAGTTTTAGTATGGAACAGTTAGATGCATCCTGACAGTTTTTTAGGTATTGTCTTCCCTCTGAAACGTAAAAATTTCTGGATGTCTTGGCAAGTCAGATTCTCATAAGACAAGAAGTAGCCTAGGAGATTATATAATATTCCAGATAAATGAGGTATCATTTTATTTGTTGTTAAAACCTGTAGCCTGAGCTAAAAGTATAACAGACTATTGCCACAAAAATCTTGATGCTATCCAAAACAACCAGCTTTCTGTGAGTATCCTTCTCAGCCAAGACTACTAGAACCCCAGCTAGTATACAGAGGTGTGTGCTGAGTTGAATATGAAAGGTATTGGTACCTCAGTGAAAGGGAACCAATATTTATAATTTTTTGCATTGCCCAAGAGAAAGTCAAAACTTTTGAAACTTCATTTTTTAAAAACTCAAGAATAAAAGAGTTTTTAACTCAAAGCTTAAAACTCAAAACTACCCTCTATTCTGATGTAACATTATTTAGGTTTCAATCTACATATTTTTTAAGATTTTAGATGTAAGAAGGAAAAATCTGTAAATGTAAATTTTAAAAATTGCCTATGACTTACTGTTCTCATCCTTTGCATTAGGGTTCAGTTTTCTTTTCCTGTCTGTTAAAGTAAATATATACAAATTTAGCATAAACATTTCTAGATTTGAAAGAAACTATATTGTAACTATAACTATTCAACAAATCTTTAGATTAAACTGAGCTGTAAGTACAGTTGTTGTTAAATAATATCAAATAAATAAACTTCTCTACATTTCTTTTATAAAACTTGAATCAAAAACTTTACAAAACTTGAATCAAATTCTGAAGTCATAATGTTAAGACTCTCCTTTCATGACTATAAATACATATAGTCTGGTTTACTAGAGTCTGTTCATGTGCAAGAAAATACTAGCTTTATTAGTTTTGTACTACTGCACATGCAAACAAGGAAGAAAATACTGCAATAGTCCTGTATCGCACCATTTTAGTTGTATAGCCATAATGGAGTTGAAAAATAAAAATTCTGTGTAATATATTGTAGCCACAGTGTCTTTGTAGCTATGAAGAAAACACTGTTCAAACTATGCTTTTACAGTCCTCACTCAAGGCAAAGTTTGTGCTCTGTACAGAATACTAACTGGTCAGCTTTAAAAATGTATCTTTCCGTACACCTTGTCTCACATAAGTAACACAGTGAGGAAAATAAAATCCAATTAAAATTGTCCAAGATCTCATATTCTACCCTCTTGTCATCTAGAAATAAAATGTGACTGAAGTCATGCAAATGTGCCTTATTAAAATTTCCTCAAGGTTGTTCACAGGAAAAAGTAAAGAAATAGTGAAAAGTTTCACTATCTGAAGTAAAATGTACCTTTTTTGGGTTGCTCATTCTTGAATGATTTTCTCTTCTGAAATATTATTAGTGCAGAGAGTAGGACAGCTACAGTCACACATATGGGGATGATTAAAGAGATCCGGAATTTTTGTCCACTATACTGTGTACTCATTAAAGCTGTTAAAAACATTAAAGGAGAGTAAATTTATAACTTACAAAACAGGCATTGTTTCTCAAGTTATTGGTTCTGTTCCTCCAAAGTCTTGCTCTGACTGAACAAAGGATTTGTAAAATTTATCAACATAGTGATTTACACTCATATTATGAATAATTTGTTCTGAATTATTACTGTGAAAAGCCTTTAAAAAAGCCAGTCAAATCTTTCATTTTTATGGGGTTTAAGTTTGTTACCATCCTATTGGCATCTGCCTTTGAAATATTTCTATATATTGATGAGACCTCCTCTCAGTCTTCTCCAAACTAAACAGTGTCTCCTCATAAGAGACATGCTTCAGTCCCCTCATCATCCTTGTGGCTGTTGCTGAACCCTCTCCAGTACCTCCTCTCTCTCGTGTCCTGAGGAGCCCAGAACTGGGCACAACACTCCAGATGTGGCCTCACTACTGCTGAGTAAAGGAGCAGGATCATCTGCCTCAACCTGCTGGCAATGTCCTTCCTAATTTGCCCCAGAATAAAATGTGCCCCAGGATACCATTAGCTTTCTTGGCTGCCTCATGGAGAGCTTTTTGTCTGCCAGGATTCCTAGGTCCTTCCATCCACTTCACAGATGTCAGCCCCAGCCTGTGCTGGCACACGAGGCAATTCCTCCCCAGGTGCAGGACCTTAGACTCTGTTCAACCTCACTAGATTTCTCTCTGCCCAACCTTCCAGCTAATCAAGGTCCATGCCTTCAGGTGGATCACTCATGCACCCAGTTTAGTGTCACCAGCAAACCTGTGGAGAGTGCTTTTGATTCCTTTGTCTGGGTTGTTGATAAATTGAATAAGACTGGACCCAGTACTAATCCTTAGGAAGTGCCACTGACAGCAGGCTTCCATCTGGACTTTATTCCTCTGATCACAACCTTGTGGACTCTGTAATTTACCAGTTCTTGATCCTGTTCATCTAATCCATATTTCCTGAGCTTAGCCATGAGGATATTAGGGGTGACCGTGTCAAAAGCCTTGCTGAAGTCAAGGTAGACAGCTAGATAGAACAATTAAGTAGGAGACCATCAAGGAAGATGCCCATGCAGCTGAAAAAATTCCCTCTGTATTGGCAGGAAAATAAGGAAAGCTACTCTAAAATTAAAATATACAGAAAAATACAGGCTGGTTTTTTGGAGTGGAAGCTAGCTGAGACTTCAAAGACACAAATAATACTGACTTGTTCAGTTAACCAAGAATCAATATTGCACTGATTTCTAGAACTGAACTCCAGTGATAGAGCATAGCACATGATATATGTATGAACACTGCCATGTACAAGTTCAAGGTCATACGAACCTAAAGTGGAAAAGTGACCTGAAGTTTCTCCATTCAGTTCTTTATTCCAGAAGACACATGTGTAGTTCTCACTCATATTTGGTTTGAATGTCAGGATGCTGGTGACATTGTAGAGACCATCTGCAGTCAGTGTATAGGTGGTATTTGCAGATCCGCTGAGATTGAAGTTCTCATTTTGCCAGAAAACCTCTGCCAGAGGAAAGCCTTCTGACTGGCATATAAAAACAAACTTGTCTTCACCTGGTATTCTCATTACTTGAGTATTTATTCTCTTGTAAGATGCTGCATGAGAAGTTTTTGAGTGAAATTGTTGTATGCAACAACAGTCATTTTCCCACTTCACTTTCCCTGCTTCCTTTTAATCCTATGCATTGTCTCTGGTTATATCTGTGGAACACTTATTTAAAATGATGAAGGATGTTTTGTAGAATAATGCAAAATGAATTATTCAATCCTTACCGTGCCTACAGCAAAAGAACACACTTCAGTGTGTTTATGCAGGGCAACAGTTGACACTAAATTTATGATTTATTAAGACAGAAGAGACAAGTGGAATCTTATGGGACTTATTTTCACTTTTAGAATATGCCACTTCCAGAAAGCCTGATTTCATGTTTGTTTTACCGTAGCTTATAAACAGTGTAATGTTTTCATCATATTAGAAAAAGAATTGACTTTTCATAGGAACTAATGTGGGTCTTAAGAATGTCTGTGTCCATTTTTGCATTTGATAAATATTTTTATTTAAATATCTGGGTGGAAAATGAATGCTGCCTTGCATCACACAGACATGCAACTAGTGGGAAACACCAAAAATCTTTCAAAGATCTAGACTGTCTTATTTTCCATTAACATATACGTTTATTACTAATGCCCATTTGGCTTCAATGGACACAGAAAATCACATGTCCTTGCTCTGGGAAATGTAGTCACTTGGGGAATCCCCAGCCACTTGGGTCATTGCAGCTGGATTCATAAGTGTATCAAAGCATCTCTGAGAAACTTTTTGGAATGACCAGAGGGTGGCCCAATAAGGGGATCAAAGGAGACGAGGGAGGTGGTGGCACTGGAGAAGAAGGCTGTAGAAAGAAGGATGGAAGGAGAACAGATGTTGTCCCTCCCCTGCACCAGGTGCTCTGGGAGGAGCTCAGCTGTTGAAAGGCTAGGCACCACTAAGACGACTGTTTTGGTTCAGCTGGGGGCTGAGCACAAAGTCTTGGTGGGACAACTAGCAACAAATTCCTTCAGATTAACCAATTTCTACAAGCCTGTAGGAATTTAGTAGAGACATCTCAACAAGCATACAATTAGATTTAATTTAACCCCTCACCTCTTACATCCAAAGCAATGTATTTGTAGTCCACGCCCTGGTAGTCAATGAGACAAAGGTATGATCCTGCGTCTGTGATCTTAACATTGGTGATCTGGAGGATGACTCGTCCCAGCTTCAGTTCACTGTGCAGAAGTGATGCTCTTCCTACATAATCAGGATGTTGAGATGGACAGAGTGCGTTCCCATTGCGGAAGGTGCACACCTCTTTTGATTTCAACAAGCCCTGCCTTTTCTGCTCCCAAATGACAGTCAGAAGTCTTAGATCCACTGAGCCATTCACAGGGAATCTGCATTCCATGGTCACGTTGCTCCCATACTCTGCAGTGTAGAGCTGTTGAGGAACTTCAACTGTAAATAAAGCTATGTATGGAAAAGAGAACAGTTTCATTTGTTTCATCAAAATATGTTCTGATTTTCTTTAAAGTTGAGCAAAACTGTGTCACACAGTCAGGGGTATATGGCTACTGATTTGACTAAAAGTTTTAAGCATTTTTTGTTCATATTCACACTAATATTTTTACCATATAGTAATAATAGCAAATCATCTATATTCTGTATTGATTACAGAGTCTGAAAGATGAGGGCAGAGTGGCCAAGTTTTTGGTGGTGGGTTTTGTTTGTTTTTTGAGGTTTTTTTGCATTTTTTGAGTAACTTAAGGCTAGGCCAGTGATTACACAGGGACCATTTTTATCAAACTGTGATATGGTCTCTTACATGTCCTAAGGTTGTAATAAAAGCAACAATTAATTGTGGAAATTGTAAATCTAATGTCACTATCCTTTACAAGAAGGAATACCAGTGTAGTTCCTGTTAAACGGAGTTGCACTGGATAAATGTGTATAGCTCAAAATTGCTATGTAGCAATTACAGTCACCACAAACCTGGAACCATGTGAGTATCATTTGATCTCATGCGTTTTCTCAGATATGTGCAACAGTATTGCAGAAAACATATCAAAATAATCTCAGCCATTCACCCAATCTGAAATTAATATTGTTATCAATAGGTTGCCATTTTAAAGTGTACTTGATATGGTTATTTCTAATACATCATTCAATATACTTTGTTACTACTTTCCATATTGGATGTGCTATGTATTGGTAGACAATTCAGGAGCACTTGGAAGTGTTGGTAGTGACACTGCAAAGAGAAGTCCATGCAACTGTAGCAAGGGAGAAAATTTTGTGAAAAAGTGCCTAGCTCCTTCTGGGTTTTAGCCAAGCTGCTTCTGCTACAGGCATGAACAGGGGAACACAAGTGATTATCCTTCACACCATCTCACACTTGCCAGTGGGCATTGGTTGCTTTGGTCATTCTCCTTCTCACAGCCATGCCACTGATGCTGGACATCTCAGCTGCCAATACACAATATGTCCCCTGACTCTGGAAAGTGACAGACACCTGTCCTGTGCTCAGTCAGTGCCTGTGTCTTCTATAAGATAGAAAGCAGAGGCTCCAGACATTACTGACCATTCATGCAAGTATTGCTGGAGGTGCTGAAGCCCACATGCTAAAAGCTGCATTAGTTCTGTTAGTGGAACTGAAAAGCAGTTTCTCTCTTACCTGAAACCATGGAGATCTGTATTTCCAGCAACAGTATTGTGAGGATTTGGAACATTTTCTCAGGTAGATCTGAAATAAAAGTTTTGCAAAGAATTGCAAAGAAATAAAGAATTGCATTAGAACTTGCAACAACTAACCTTCTGCTGAGGCAGATCAGAGCCATGCTAGCCTTTAAAATCCATCAGAGCTCATAAACAGCAAAAAAAGAAACAAACTCTAGGCTATCAGCAGAAACTAGGAAAATCTGTATTAGAGCAACTCATGCACACACAAAGAATATGAACCAATGGCAATGAAACAGTGGCAATAAAGAGAAATGAAACAATTCCACAACTTCAGTCATGACATTTTCAGGATCTGTAGCTTGCAGGCAGTTTCAAATAGTCTGACAGGGAAATGCTTTTATATTTTTTACTATCCACAAATAATAATCAATTGCAATTGACTTCTCCCATGTAGGAGAGATTCATGAACAAGCACAAGCAGATATTATAACTGTCTGTACATGATCCAGTTTACAAGATTTTTAACCCTGCTTTTGTTTCAGCTTTGCTTTGCATGGGGTATTTTGCAGTTTCCTATTGCCTTAAACCTAAAGACCAGGAAATCCCTGAACACATTGTGAGGCAGTGGAAATCTCAGGATGGGTAAATTGAAGTTTGCTTCAGAAAGGATTAGAATGAAGACTTACTGCTGCTATTCTTTCACTTTACATATGGCAATGTCTGATGTGTACAAATCGCCTTGTATTACGGATAGTAAACCATCATCCCTGGAATAATTCAAAAGAAGAAAGTACAGTTTTAGAGTGAATGTATTTGTGTTCCAGTAGCAAGCAAACTATCACATATTTTTCATACTACTGTATACAGACCAACATAACTAAAAAGAGGAAAAAATCCAAACAACAAAGAAGCACCAGAGGCAAAATTCATAACAAAACTTATGAGATAATAGAAAAGACAGAAGAATTACTTTGAATAAAGCTTGTTAACATGTAGTATAATCTGAAAAGAAATAGTGAATAAGACCCAGAAATAAGCTACAAGGAAGTAAAGAAGAGAAGGAGCAATTTTAGACTTCCCCAGAGCTTGACTTACTGGAGGAGGGGTTTAATTTTACTTCCCTATTCTTTTGTGGGCTCAGCTTGAAACATTCTGGTTCAAATTTTCTCAGGTGCTGCATTTCTCTCATTGCTTCTACCCTTGAGCTTTCAGTATCTTGGAAAATGAAGCTCAAAGCTTAGCAAATTAGCAGGCGAAATTATGGGACTTTTTGATGTGATGTCACAAATAAAGGTTTATATGCAAACTACTGTAAGCAGACTTATTACATGTAAATGAAAGCTAGTTACCTTTATCAAAGGTATTTAATACATGATGAATCATAATTACTATGGCTGTGTGAGAAAGGAGCTAATAAATACCATGAGTATCTCTATCTTCCAGATGCAGAAGTAAAGACTGTTACTATTTACCATCCTTCGTCTCCTACTACACTCACTTCTCCACACAGCTTACCTATTAGAAGATAGACTGAATGAAGAATGAAACTATTTCTCATCAATATTTAGATCCTTGGATTAATCTTATGTGAGACATTTTAGGTATTCTGCTCTCTTTTTATCATCTAGAGTACATTGAAAATGCAGAGATGTTTATTTTTTAATGTAGGAGATAGTATTTTAAAAAATACACATATTACTGATAGTAAAAATAAGAAGATACACAATCTGCCCCAGCAGATAATCATAATTATTACATATCAAGAAAATCTTGTCTGACCAGAGGGATTAGTTTTAGAAAAGCATTACACATAATATAAATACACAAAAGAAAACAAATATTAGAACATTTTAACTTGGGATACTGAAAGCAGTCATAGAATGCTTGTGGGAAGGAGGAAGGATCTGTATTAAAAAGATCAAAGATCTATTAGCACAGATGTGTATTAGAAAGATCAAGGATTTGTCAGCAAGGATCTGTATTAGAAGGCATCCTTCCTTATTTCCATAATCTCACAAGCAGACATCAAGTTGTTGTGCGATCTTAATGCAATTTACCCATGCAACTTCATCATGTGGCTCTGACACACTTCCACAGCATCTAGAGGGTGATTTCTTCTGAGATTGCACTACTAACCATTCATGGTGTAACAGAATAGCCCCCATGTTCTCCCTGCTTTTCAGAAAACATATGTCATGCCCTGCTCTTCAACAGTCCTTGTACACAACTATCCTAACTTATCCTAAGGCTATGCAAAAGTCTTTTGTTTTTCTGTTAAGAAAAAGGCCACTTCTAAAATGTATTCATCATATGCCTGTTACAAATTCACAGGGATAAAAGAAGGAACACTGTGCCATAAAAATTAGTACTTAATGCATCTTACAGCAAAGTGAGGAATTGAAAATACACATCTGAGAACAGTATGAAGTAGCATGACATTTCAAGACCAATTCAGATGAAGTCAGTAAATTGATTTCCCAGACCAATCTGCAGAAGAAAAAGCAAGTTATCACACAGTGCTCTGTGATTATGAGAGTTAAGTCGTAAAAACCTTGGATAATTGAGTTGGTAAAAAGCATCACATCAAACATCTAAAGATCATCATGGCTTTTTAAGAGTTGTAATAGTTTCAATGAAGATTTGGGGCCCAAGACAAAGTTTGAACATGACCAATGAAAACAAAAGTATGACAATGATCAGGGAAAATGAGGAATATAATATTTTCTCTTTGTACAGCTTTTTTGCTTTTACTGAAAGTACAAAGTTGAAAACCATACTTGACTTCATTGGGCCACAAGCAATATATTCTGGTAAATTTTCTTAATGAATGCTGACTGAAATCCAGATGGTAATGATAATAAATTGCTGAAGTTCCATCAAAGATGGAAATTATACTAAGTATTGCTTTCTCCTCTTGATTCATTCAGTTGATCATGCTAGTAACTTTAACCCTGGTCCCAGCTCACTAATCCAGAGGGTTTATAACACTTGTCTAAAAAAAAATGGGTAATTTTTGGCCTTACTTCGTACAAAATCTTTAGTGGTTGTCCAAAATCCTTCTGTAAGGAGTGAGAAGGACATTTCTTGTTCCTTTGGAAAATTTAGACTCCCATTTCCAACTGTACAAGCTCTATGCTCCATGCAACTATATGATTCAATTTTCAAAATAATGTATAGAATTTATTCCATTCTACAGACAGAAGTGAAAAGGTACTTATCTTGACTGGATGTTATAAGGATGCTCTCAGGAACTGAAACAGGTGGCAAAATATGAACATCAATCTGCTATACGCTTAAACTGTGGAGCCCTTAAGCAAAAGCTTGGGGAGTTCATTTAAGTAGCTGTGCTTTGTATAGACCTCTTTGGTATGTGTTTATTGTAATTTACTGGATTCTATTTTCAGAAAACACTCATGTGTGTTTTCTCCACAGTGCGTTGGCAACTGAGGTTGGCACTAGTCTGGTGGTAAGAGTTAGGACTGATTTGGCATTAGTGACAACTCTCACAATGTTTGTAATGTTAAGTTTACAAGAAGTATTTTAAGCAAAGGAACATGAAGATCACAGAATATTTTGCATTCTACTCCACTGTAATAATGATTGAAACACACATCTGAGTAATGTAAATTAAATCCTACTGTTTTCACCCATGAACGGTCATAATGCTTTTCTTAAGTAAAAGAAGCATCTTAATGTAAGATCCTCTACCTTTGATTAGTACCCTTGCTATGATTGCTCCTGCACACGGCAGGGGGTTTGGAGTAGATCACCTTTAAAAGTTCCTTCCAACTCAAATCATTCTATGGTTCTGTAGTTCTATGATTATTCTCAACACAAGTTTAACAAAGGATCCTGAACATCCTGAGAATCTTTGTGCTGCTCACTAAACAAAACAACCAGAGACACAGTCACTGATACAGGGACCTTATAGTCTAATAAATAATGGGAAACCCTTTCCTGGAAACATTGTTTCAGCTATTAAAAGATTTGTTTTCCAGCAAATGGATGATTTAGAACAGTAAACACATTTGGTGTCTACATAATGAAATTTAGCAGCATTAAGCAAGGAGAGCTTTTTAGATCCATAGCTTCCACTAGAATAATCAGACCAGTTGGAAAAGCTAAACAAGATTTCAAGCACACTGGCTTTCCTCCAGGTTTAAAGCAGGAGTCAAATCAACACAGAAGTTCACAATAATCTCTCAGATTTCACTCTGGAATACCAAACTATTAAAGGACTAAGGAAGGGATACTTGGTTCTCTTTAAGTTCAATGGCTATGGTAGACAGACCCTTCTTTGAATTGTATTTCCCTGAGACCAAGATATGCCATTGGCAGCACTTCTGAAGTGATCCTGCTTGGTTGTAGCAGGTATAATACAGTTGTTTTTACAACATAGAGGGAAGTGGGGACATTGAACTCCACAGCTGGGAGCTAGGAGGATGGAAATGTCACCAGGCTGGCCAGTTGGCCTGTGTTCACCTCCACACAAACTGTCCTGTACACTTCTGCAAAAAGGTTTTGCAAGTGGTCTTGCATCCTGAGACATCTTGAGCTGGTAGACTTTGTTACAGATTTGAAATACAAATATTGCAGTTGATCTGTTCACTCCTACATTCAATGTTTTTGCTCCTCTGCTGACAGACTCTGCAACGTTAGTGAGCTGAGATCAGCTATGTTTTTGTAATGACTGTGCTTTTCCTAACCCCTCTCCTTCTGCACTCTCTGTCTTATTGTACTGCAAAGCTAGTACCCTTACTAAGCACAGGCCAGTGCCTTCTGGAAATAATCCAAAATTACAAACTCACCTTAATCAAAAGCAATCAAGCTGTGTTAACAGGCATCTGACTTGGCTCCATTTGACTCTCCTTGTGTGAAATGGAGTATTATGCTCAAAAAAACTATCTTCTCATGCACCTATGTACACAGCAAAAGATTATATGGTCCCAGTCACAGTTTCTTTTGTCTTTTTCTGTTAATTACTGAAACTCCCCTGCCTTCTGTACATTTTGCAAAAACTTGCATGGAAGCAAGTTTTCTCAACAGCTTTCTTTTAACACTCTCACATGTGCAAAAAGACACAACTTGTTGACATCTTCATGAAATGGCTAAACTGATTTTACTTTCTGTGGAAGGATCCAGTTTAAAAAAAAGAAACAAACCAAAAAATTAAAGAAAAAACTTTAAAAATACTAGGTCAGAAAATAAACAAGAGAATAAACAAAAAACAAGCATTAGATACTCATACAAACTACAACTGTTCCGTATCTCACCATCAGAAAAAAGGCACTTTTTTCCTATTTCAGGAATTTAATAAAAAATCCTAGCCATGCATATTAAAATTTGTTCAAAGGCCATTTCTCCAGCCTGTCTCAGTGTATTTTGTGGACAAAATCTCTTGTTCTTATTTTCTCAAACCTGCCTTATCCAAATACCACCTCACCTGGTGTTCTTCTTGTCTTTTGCACACTTGTTGCAGTCCCTTGTTGCCCACCTCGCCACACAGGCAATTTATTGTTGGGACAATTGGTTTGTTCCTGATGTTTACACGTGACGGCCTATTTGCATAATTTCAGTCTGCTCTCCATCTTCCTTCAGCCTTCAGATGAAGATATATAATTTCTCACTTCCTCCTTTGCTCACACTATCGGTGAATTCTCACTTTCCCTGCATTGTTTAACTGTCACCTGTTGAATATTTTCCACTGTCAGTTTTTTGTTCCATGACAAATATAATCATTCTAATACAGCTGAATTTTTTTTTCTATAGATACTAGGATAGAATTGGGGTGAAATTTTGTTACATTTAAAAAGCAGCTGTGTATATCATAGAACTTTTCAGAGCCTTTCTGCTGTTAGCAGCATTACTGAATACAGACTGACACTCTGGCATGATACACTGCAAATTTTCTTTTGTATCTCTAGCTTCTACAGAAAGAAAGACTTCTTAGAGAGGCACAAGAACTTCTCTTCATAGCCTATGCTTTTTCTGGGATGCAGAAGGTGAAAGTCTCCAGACTTGCTGTACAATCAAAACAACCTGCAGGTAGTATGTTAGTAACAACTAAAAGAAAGTAAACAGGAATATATAGATACAAATATATACAGAGGTTTTTTTCTCCATTCAAATCCTCCCTGAAATTCAGGATGAAATATTTACTAAGAGCTACATCCTCATATACAAGCTGAAGAGGCTCACCAGCACCACTCCTCTGCCTTTGCCTATGAGAGAAGATAGAGTTGTAAGAGAGTTTCAACTTCTAAAAATATTAGGGTCAGAAATTTATATGGACCTGTTTTAGGATCTGGAACTTATCCAGTCTTTCATTCAGAATCAGAGTCTGTATCCCAGTAATAATTTGAAAATAAACTTAAGTAAATCTTAAGAATCTAGGAAAAAACCTGCAATCCATCAGCCAGAAATACAGGAAAAATCAATTTGCATTTTATCAGTGTTATACTCACATCAGATCTTTATGCAGGTCATTGCAATCTGATTCATGTAACAGCAAAGATTCCCAAAACTCTATCCTATTTGCACAATTGCAGAAACTACCCAAGTCATATGACAGTGTATAACATGCACCAATAGCACAGCTTGTAGGCTGATCTTATTCAGCTTGTAGGCTAATCTTTATGTCATAAAAACCTGACTACGTTGAAAGGACTTTTCTCGGGACATTGTTAGTTTCAGTTTCATGCTGAATGTACACTGAGATCACTTCTCTGCATTGCTGAGAATGTGCATGCATCCAACAAAATTATACAAATCATTCTGTAAAATCTATGTGCTCAAATTCTGCTTTTGATTATACCCATGATTTTCAGTGGGTTTATAACCATTTAAAGCAGTGTACAGCATTGGCATCTGAACTTGCATTTACTAGGACTGCTGTACATTCATCATAATTTTCTTACTTTCATCAGATTAATTTTACAAGAATTTTTCAAGCAATTACCTAATATTTGCAAAATCTATTTCCTCTTAATTTTTATCTAGGTTGATGTTATTACAAAAAAAAATCACTATGAGGCTAATCAAACACTTCAGTGAGGTTGTGTATCTCCATGCTTACAAATGCACCAAACTTTACAAGACAAAGCCTGTGCAATTGTTTTTACGATGTCACTGCTTTGAGTGGAAGATTGGATTAAGTGACTGATAGATCTCCTTCTGTTATGAAAGTATTTTGTTCTATCAAGCAGCTTTATCAATGGACGCATCTTTTCATTTTTCATCACTCTATCTTTTAATTTATGATGACATAATGAGTGAGAGACATAAAAGAGATACGGATGTGTTTCTGCTACATATTCTCTTTTGTCTCCTATTAGATTCTCACTGCTCGTGAGAATTGTGCTCTACCTTAACACAAAAAATGATCATGGCTTTACTCCTGAAAATCCTAGCTGGTTTGGGAAGATGTATGATGATTGCCTGCCTCACAGTTCCAGACTGATTTATGAAATTACGTCTCCTGCTGCCTAGTACAGAGCAAACTAGTTCAACAAAACCACTGCTACATTACTTTATTCTTCTTCAGTAAGCTTATCATGTGTAGCCCTGTCACACAAAGTAATTCATGAGTAGTCTCACCTTTTCCCAGAAAAGCTCCAATGACTTCTTTGGCAGAGGTCAATGATTTGGATGACAGAAAAGAAACACCAAAGTTACTTTACAATCACCATCACCATCTTCTGCTCACTCTGAGCTAGTCCTGCCTACAGTATGTTTTCTTCATGTGTTCCCATATTGGGACAAGGAGACAGCTCAGTGAAATTGCCCAAGAATCAGTGACTTGCCTTGGTCATCGCAAGAACCCAGTAGTATCTGACTTGCCTGGGACAATCATATACTTGCAGAGCCAGAAAAATAAAATATGGAGAGAGAGAGAGAGAGAGAGAGAGAGAGAATCTGGGACAATATGCTGAAAAAACAGAAGCCCTACTGTTAAGGTCTGCAAAAGCAGAAATTCCACTCTTAAGACCTCTGTTGTTTTCCTGGCTAGCCCATGCTTGAATGATGCACCATTGGAATTTTTTAAACCAAAGGGGAAAAGGGACACAATCAAAAGTCCTGCAGTTCTGCTCTATGAAAAGCTGTGCAGGTCAACAGCAATGATTCTATTTTTTCATATTATTAGATCTTTATTGGAATTGTAATTGTCAATAGGTTTCATATTCTACAAAATTAAATGCTACATCAAAAAGCAGGCCACCACACTGGTTCATAGTTACATTTGTAAAATAAATGAGTCCTGAACTGAAATAGCAATAAGCCAATTTTGATTGTGCACATGAACCAGGCTTTTCTGATCACTTTTGGAAATCTAATAATGCTTGGCTACTAGGAAGTAAAATGCAGCTTACTGAAGCTAAGTCTGCTCCTGCTTGCTGCTGTATTTTGTCTTCCAGAGAGCCGAAAACCCTGAAGCATCATGCAAATGTTTTTAATGGAAGAAAAAATGTTATTACACATATAGTGTTTAACTACATTTTTTGTGTTAGGACAGGAAGGATTTCCACTTACCTAGTTCTCATAAACTAAATGCTCTATTTTCACTTTGGTGTGTATTCTCCCTGTGTAATGAGTGGAAAATACTTGACCTGAAACCACTTATGGCATTGAAGGATAAACATGTGGGCCTGTCTCCCTGTATTCATAAAAGTGAAGCCACAAAACTTAAATTATACTAAAAGCTTAATTTCTAAAATAAGATTGGACAAGTTCAGCTTTGTATTTCAGAGAAGTTTAAAAGCGAGCTTATTTATTCATGAGGGCAGGGCTTTTTGCTTTACCTGTTATTCACCTTATGTTGTGCTTTTCTAAAGAAGTAGCAAAATTTTATGCTTCCCATCAACCACTCAGGAATTCAAGCACTGTCATTTTAGAAGTTAGGGTTCAGCTAAAGAATTTCTATTTTTATCCTCTCATTTCATTATCTTACTCATCTGATATACAGCACTTTCAACAGTAACCTGCCCTTTCTCCTACTGGGAAAAGAGAAATGTAACAGTTCCTGCTGTAGAGTAGAGTTTGATAAAGACATTAACTTCAGTTCCATAACACTAAGCAAGCACTGCCTTGCAAAGGCTTATGAGAACTAACAAGAAGAGACTTCTTCACTTTCACTGTAAAATGCACACAACTTGTCCAGTCTCAAACAGGAAGTAGAAAGTGAAAAGGTTATCTTGTCTGGAAAGGGAATTATTTATGTGGTGATATGATTCTATATTTTTGTGCTGAGTCAGTATTTGGTCTACAAATGGCCCTGATATTTCAAAATCTCTTTGTAGATAATTAAAATTTGGCTATCACCTTCAATGACACCCAGATTCAAAAAGCATGTTGGGAAGCAGGAGGAGATATTCAAGTTCACATAGTAACCTTGAAGAGTCAAATGGGAAGAATCAGTATCAGAATATACAAGGTCTACAACGAATCAGGGAAATGACTCTGTAGTAACAATTTTACTTAGCTGTGGTTGACCAACCCCATTATGATTCTGACAGACATTTCTCTATTCTACTAAAGAGGACAGCTTTCCCAGATTATTAAACACAACCTTGCATTAGCTACTTTGAATACTGCCAGCAGTGAAGCCCTGCCATTCACGAATGAGGACTGTGTCCACATTCTTGGGACTGCACAATACATTATTTATTTTCAAATGAAAAATAAAATCTGAGTCCAGTGAGATTCCAGTTCTCTGCCATCTGTTCTTTGTGGGAGCCATTAGAGGAAGGTCATGGCTGTAGACTCTCTCCTGCGCCTAAATCTTAGATACTGTTTTTTCTCAGAAATATGCAAATAGAGCTTATGCTACCTGCTGACAGGTTAAGGAAAGCAGGAAAAACCACAAGAAAAGCAAAACGTGTTTTATTAAAAAAATACAATTGTGAATACCATTGTAATAATTTTTTTTTCGCCTGTATATGATCCCCCCCAAAGAGCTATGCACTTAGCAAAATATAGCATAACAATAACTTGTGAAAAAGGATCCAAGAACAGGTTTCTTCAGCATTTCTATGTAATCACATGTGCAGTTATTTCATGTCCTAGAAGTAAGTAGGTTTTCCTTTTTCCATTCCCAAGAAAACAAAATGGTAATCTAAAGCAAGGGCTGTTTTTCCTAAATGTCCAAAGAATTGTATTATCCCCAGACTGTGAATCAGAAGACAGTGAGCAGTAAACAAGTAGTGCCAGCAAAATCATGAGGAAATTAAATGCCCACGATCCTTTTCAAAGAAAATATCAAAAAGCTTAGTATTATTTAATTCCCAAACCATAGTTACCAAGAATTTTAAATCATCTTTTTCAGGCTTAGCTGAGAGTATCTGGTATTTTAATAATGAAAATGCCCTGCATGTATGGCAATTTGTCTTGTTGCACCTTTTATGAGGATCAAAGTATTGAAAAGATTCTTTAAGCTATGGAAAACCAGTTATGTGCAGGAAATTGTGAGCTCAGGTGAAGAAGGAAGAAAAAAAGGTTCAGAAGATGACCTATCAAGAGCTAGCTATGGAATTAATGATGGTCATAGACCTAAAGTGCTTTACTTGAAAGATACACTTAATTAAATTAAATGTTTGAAAGATACATTTGCCTAAATTGAGAAGGTAGAAACTTTGATATTTAAATAAATACCTCACTATCTAGTCACATATATAGAATCCATTCAATAATTTTTTATGCTATAATAATTTTTTTAACTTCATTAAATTTTTCCTGTGTTACAACAATATAGAAGATTGCCATCACACAATAAATACAAAAAATAATATCCCCTTCAATACATTGAACACAGAACATTTGAGCCGACAAATCTTCACAATAGAGGGAAAAAGTCTTCCCCTGTTCTCTCTAGGTCTTCTCAATTTGCATATCTGTAACAGGAAGAATTATATGAAAAAATTATCAAATTACAAAATGATGAATGCACTGAACACTTCATAGTTTTGCACCCCTTTCCTAGAGTTTGAAGGTACCAAAAAGTTTCCTTCATCTAAAATTAAATTAATTAAAAGATCAAACAGGAAAAGATGATCATGGGAGGAAATAAAAGTGGTAGTTCAAACATACAACAGTATAGCAAATACAATGAGATTGCTGTTGCTTAGGTCCCCCTTTCTTTCAAAACCCTTTAAAATTCTTTCAAATACATTTAGTGCTCCCTCTGTCAGTATTCCCAGTGGCATATCCCCAGACCCTAACTCTTTGACTTGGAGATCTACACCTGCAGGACTGGCAGGCTTACCTGTAAGTTTACTGCAGTAAAGCGTAGCAGGGAGGGATTTGGGATGCAATTAACGCAAGTGCTTTACAAGAAAGTGTGAGAAAAACCTCAATAATTTCACCCTCCTGTTCTACACCATAGGATGTTTCACAGGTTTGAGATATTTGATTCATATATTTTCTTGCTTTGTTGAGAGAGAATCGCACAGCTTGGGACCTGCTCAAGTAGCTGTGACAGGTTCCTGTCCCCTCCCCCATTGCCATCACCACCCTTACAGATATGCATGAACAACTCTTTCTATAGCAAAAGTGCAAGCTGGAAAAAGCGACTGGTTTGGGTTTTTATATATCTCCACATCACATTTTCCTTTGTATATCTTTCTATTTTAAAAACTAGATTCATTATTTGATGTAACAAACAGTACACAATGAGTTATGATGGTGAGTTTGTAAGACACAGAATGGGAGGCTGTATTATCTCTTGAAGGCTCTGTCTGTTGAAACAAGAGGTTAAATAAACTAGTCCTGAATCAATGCTCCAGTGACCAGGATGGTTTATGCTGTGTAAAATTTGCTACTAATTTTTCCTTCATCATTTATACTTACATTTCAGCTCTCTGTCTTCAAAAGAAGCATCTCTGCAGTTGTGTGTATCCTTATCTTTTGCAAGTTCTGTAAGCAAAGGACATATATACACGCAGCAGTGAGCATAGCTTAAACTTTTCCTATAGTGATAGATCTGTATTAGAAACTGCCACCTCAGGCCACTCAGGATGTAGAGTGACTTGAATGCAGAGCAAGGGATGAGATTAGCACCAAATGCTGTTTCTGTTTGGGCAAGTACTCTCAAGAGAGTTTTTCTTCAGAAAAATGCCAATAGCCAGCATGAACCAATTTTCACACAGCAATTTAATTTGTGGTGGTCTCCAAATACCCATACCACAAATTAAAAGTAAGTCAGCCAGTAACCATCTTGACAGGCAGCAAAAGGATTTTAATCTCTTCTCTCCGGCTGTAAATATTAAGTCTCTTTTCTTCATTTTTTTCAATAGCACCTGTCATGATGGTACTGGCCTTCCACTGAGCTTTGCTCATAGTAAATAGCATCAATATCACAACACAGAAACTAAAGCTTCCCTGAGTTTCTCTCAACAGGGCCAAACTCTCTGTCATGAATGTTGTGACAAAGACCCTCAAACGCATGCTATGATACTGGAAAAAAAAGAGGAATGTGCCAACACAGTTCAAATTGCAGCAAAAAGTCTGCACATCAGGATGTGATGCCATTCTGAGCTATTACGTTCCAGGGAGCCTGTCCCATCCTATTGCAGACTTTCCAAAACACAGTAAACTGCTCTGTCCTTTTCTTGTGCATATCAGAAGTGCATCAGTTCCTGGAACAAGTATGCTTTTCATTCCTTTTAAAAGGATGACACAATCACAAAAAGCCATTCTTCAATTGTAATTTATAGTTGTTATGTAAATGAAATGTAGAAAGCATTATAAAATGGAATTTAAATCTCCATTTGGTTGTCACCATTACAAAGTTAATTCTCAAGTAAGAGAATTTCTTATTTCTACAAGAATCACACTCTGCAAGATTTATGTCATATGTACATACTTGCTATTGATAGACTCTCCACAGGTGTTCTGTTGCTCTTATTTGCTCTAGCTGAAACAAAACAAACAAAAAAAAATTTAAAAACAACCCAAAATACTTGCCTTAGATCTAATGAGGAGCTTAAACACATTGGTGGGAGGGGCACACATTACATAGTGTAATTATTTGTTCTCAAAACACTAAATTTCTTCCAAAACTTTAAAATAAATTCTTCAGTACTCCCAATCTGTTGGTTTCCTTTCCAACTTCCTTTTCTTGTTTCTAAGCTGGAACTCCATTGATACTATGCACTAAAATCACTGGAAAATACTTGTTCAAATGGTTTCCCACTCCATCTTTTCACCCAGAATTTGAACATATCAGAAAACAGGGAACAGAAAGGGGATCATCTTCTCAGTGTTTTTTGAGGGGAAAAATGCTCACATTCTGGGAAGATTCTGTTCTGAAACAACCACTTGTCCAGTAACCCAGGACAGCTTAGGATTCAAAATAAAAAACTTATTGTCACTTATAGTGTAAACTTACAGTTTAGCTTTTGAATCAACTTGTAGTTTATCAAACACACACACATGTATGTGTGTATGTATAGATAGATATGGAAGCTAATGTGATGTGCATTATCACATACACACACAAACAAATATTAGTCAGGCAACCTAGGAAACTTCTGACCTTCAATGAAATCCCCAGTGGGATTCTTTTGAGCAATCAAGGATTTTGCTGTCCCTTCTTCCACTTTCATGTTCTCCTCCTATTCCTATTATGTTCTTAGGGCAAGTATATTGTTATACTTGCAGGATTATCTGCAGTCCTCTTGCAGCCTGTTAGAATCACCTGCAAGTCTGTTAAGCTTATGAATACTTCTCTCAGGACTTTTCCATAGCCACCCACCTCCCCCACCCAACCCATGAAAGAAAAAGAAATTAACAGTACTTCTTTCAGTTTAAGTAACAAGTTTAAAACTTTTTTTTTTCTTTTATTTTGGGTGCTAGCTATAGTCTTTTCATACTCAGACAACCTACAAATTATTTCTGCAAGTTTTTATTTTGTTAGCTAGCAAGTGAAAACAAATTATTGCCAAATACTTTAGCTTTTGTATATACTGTGATGCTGAAAATATCCAATATTAATTCAGGAAGTGAACTGAGAAAGCTCAAAACTTAGTGAGGAAATCAATTAAATATTCACTTAAAAAACCAGGTGCTCTCACATTTCAGTGAAATTCTCTATTTCAGAGAATGCAGAATAAGAACCACTAAAAAACCTCCAGTATCCTGTCTGCTACCAGCATTCTGGTCCCCAGTCAAAAAGGAGGACACAGGACAGGAACCTTCAATTTCCAGTAGGTAAAAAATAAGTGCTTTGATGATGCAATAGGTTAGACACTATTCTTACTGCTTACATCCTTACCTACAAGAAAGATTAACAGACACACATGGCTAAGTGGGGTTTGTGAGGGGCTGATAACGTGTTTCCCTCTGTCAACTTGCTAGTATCTACTCTAGGCCAGTAAAGAAAGAGAAATAAATGATATGGTAAAAAACTGTCTCATTCCACTCAGCAAGGATGAGTTAACAGAGCAGATTGATAATAACTGAGACACTCTAAAATAAATAATTTGCATACCTTTTCTTATGCAGAGCAGAAATAGAAGCACTGATCCAACAAAAGCAGTTGCAATGAGAGTTGCTCCAACAAAGCGTCTGCTCTCAGTCTGGAGAATGCCATCAGTTGAATCTTCAAGAAAAACAGGTGGGGGATAAGACATTACATAATTGCATAGGATCCTGCCTTTGCCTTTCATTTTCATTGTATTATTTTCGCTATGAGCAATTAAGACATAATAACAACTTTATAGATTGTGTCTAAGGTCAGGTGTTAATGGTGCACATAACACTTTTTTCAAATAAGGTGGGGGGAAGCTAGAACATATTAATATTTTTCTCTGTTCTCTGCATTCCATGTGATAGTGCCTTTGATCCCATCAGAATTCTGCTTGTCAAAGTGTTAGATCTGGCTTAGTTTCCCATCAGGATTACACAAAAAAGGTAATTGAAAAAGAGGACACAGTTCCTTTCATCTGGTAATGATTGCTCCAGATGGAAAGGGTAAGTGGTCTCCTTGAATCCCAGATATTTTTCTTGTTAAAATGAGACTTGCCCATTGAAAGAATTACTTGGTTTTCTCACTCTAAACATGGCTGTTTCAAACCCTTGTCATGTCCAAAAAGTGTGACTGCACAGGTGTTTTTAAAACTAGATGGTGAACTGAATCAGGGAAATGACCTCAGTAACAGTCTGATGAAGAGAAATACTGGTTTTGAGTTGGATTGGGTCTCCAGTCTGGTTGAAAACATATCAGGCTACATTGCAGAAAAGAATAATCAAAAGCAGAAGCAGAAGAGGAGCTGCCCAGTTAAAAGGTTTAATTAGGAATTGTATTGGTCTTGTCCATTTAGGAGTTTTCCTTCAATTCTGACTTTATGAGGGAAAAAAAATCTGTATACAAGTACTTAAATTTAAATATGCTCAAAGCAAAGGCTGTAGTGGCAGGAAAAAAACATATTGTTCAAGTTTATGTGACAGTAATCATCAACAAACTAGAATAATCTTGGAAGATGGAAGGATTTAATTTCCAGATGCTGAGTTACATATCTTCCAAATAATGGAACTTTTAAAACATTTAGACTCAATTTCCAGATACCTGCAGGTCACACAAAATTCCTGTCTTTAAATTCTGACCATACATGCATGATTAACATGTTCGTATGGTGAAAGTATACATTAATAACAAAACTTAATGACACAGGTATTTCTTTCTAGCCTCTTCAAAATTTGGAAAGAGAAAAAAATCACAGCTGATTCGACTGGGACAAAATTACATTGGCACCTTGAAGTGTATTACCATAAATGAAATTTAGAAGTGTTACCTGCTATGTGTAAAATGGCAGTTGTATTTTCTTGTAGTTCTTTATTCCAGAATATACAGTAAAAAATGTCATCAATTCCACTTTTGATTGTGAGGGTACTTGTCACACGATACAACTGGTCACTTGCAGTTTCAAATTTTGTGTTTGCCTTATAAGTCAAATCTTCATAGTTTCTATTATGCCAAATCACTTCAGCTTCTGGGTATCCTTCTGACTGACACATCAACTTCCATTCGTTGTGTCCTGTTCTCACCACTCCTTGGTTTATAATTCTGTAAGGAGCTGAACAATTGGAAAAAAAAATCATTACCATTAGGAAGCTAGAAGAACAGCCTATATTAGATGAAAGACACCTTTTCTTTTTCCCCAGCCCCCAGGATCAAGTTTCAGCTTGGATTTTGACAGGAAAGGTAAGTAACACTATTGAGTCTGTAACTGGAGGTACAGGATTTATTACAATTTTGATGTGGTTTAGAAAGCTCACTAGGCTTTATGGTCTTTGTACTCTACACATGATTTTGCAACCTGATTCCTTACAAGTCATGGCAGGTTTAAAGGACAGAACACGGATTCAGCCTAAACAGAAGTGCCAAGTTACACAGCTGTGCAAGCACCATCAGACAGCTCCTGTCTCCAATGAGGTTTATTTAACTGCTAATCCAGATATATCTTACTTCAGGGTCTCCTCTGAAATCTTTTAAGAGTATCAGAGTATTGAATCTCTGGTAGTAGCACACGCACCCTTAACTTTCAGGTGGATTGTCTTGTAGTCAGCTCCCCCGTAGTCAACAACACAGCGGTAAACCCCTGCATCTCTGAGCTTCACATCAGTGATCTGAAGGACAGACTGTCCCAAGTTCAGGCTCTCTTTCAACAATTTTATTCTTCCCCTAAAGTCACTGTGCTGATTTTTGAGGTCTTCCTCTCCTTTGCGAAGTACATAAACCTGCTTCAACTCATCTTTCTTATCCCAGCTGACACTTAAATCTCTAAACTCTAATTTCCCATTCACTGGAAATGTGCATTCCATGGTCACATTGTTCCCACGTTCCACAATGCAGAGTGACTGGGGAGCTTCAACTGTGAATAAAGCTGAAAAACAAAATTTGGAAGAAAACTTAGTTTTTAAATAATACACCTAATCTTTAAAGTCATGTCTTACCATAACCATAGGAAATTTTAAGGACCAAAGTATCTTCTCTGTTCTGAAAAGTTAAACATTTTGGTATGTAGCTGTCCAAGTATGTGATAAAACACAAGACCTCTGCTGTATACACACAGAATGGGCACTCATATCTGCAGACACCTGCTTTGTGCACACACATAGTGTGATGCTGTACTAAAAACAGTGAACTGTATATGCACAGCCCTCAGCTGTTGCTTTGAGGAAATACTGCCGTGGTAACAGGCAGGTGTTAGTAATGAGAATGTTCTGTTTATATAAATGCCAATTGTTTTTTACCCACAATGTTAAAGAATACACAACATTTCCCAGGTTTGATAGAGTCTAGAAAACCTTTGGTGTAATGCTAATGGTACCTTGTTTGAAATGGTGCCTCTGCTGGAACACTGACAGGGATTTTAACCTGGCCCCATATCAAAATACATGCATCTAGTTTAATGTAAAGCTGTGCTTAGACCTTTTTACTTAAAACATTAAGGGAAAAAACCTCAAATGCTATCAGCTGAAGGAAAACTGGAGAAATTAACATTTCTGTGCTTATATATGGAAAGAAAACACACTAAAATAGTTCTACTGCTTTTTACGGCTTCTTACCATGTAGGAAATGCCAGTAGAATAAAAATACATACAAAAACAAAGGCCTTCCCATGATGCAGATGGAACCTGAACCAATAAAAAAATAGACAAATATAAATAAATACTCATTTTCTGAGTTGCACTGTCAAATACACTTCATAGCAATCCACACAAAGAACTGGACAGGAGACACTGAATCCCACCCTATTTAAAAACAGGATGAAACTGCACCCAGTAGATAATCAGGCGGAAGTCTTCCTGCATGGATGGGTCCAGGAAAAACATCTTACTTTATTTGCTTTAAATATCTGTTCTTGACAGATGGCTAAATAAATCCTCTATCATTATCTGTGGATAAGTGAGTAAATACTCACAAATACCCAGTTGTACCCCTAACTATAGCAGGAAATGTTGCTCCCATTAGGAGAATGAAAGAATTTTCTATACTGTCAGTGCAGGAAATAGAACTCGGTTCTTCCCCACCTATTCATTTTATTTTAACATACTGTGAATACACCCTGCTTTTTTACCCTGGTCCCACAGTACATACCAGAAGGCTCACAAAGTTACATATATTGTGAAAACAATTACTGCTGTAGTTCATTTCATAACATGTATTTACGCAATAACAGCTATGAATCAACTGTTCACACAGTAGTGCCTTTGTAAAACAGTGACAAAGCCAGTCAATCTACAAGCAGAATCTATTGCCTTGAATTTCTGATGCTTTACATCTGAATACAAAAGTCATTTCACTTTTCTGTCAGAAGTTTTTCCCCTCTTTACTGACATAGGCTTTATAGTCCTACATAACATTTTAACATTTTAAAATGCTTATTAATATCAACTCATACATTTAATCTTCACACACCCACTGCTTTTGGTAAGTCTGCATTTTAAGCCATAAATACAGAAAATGGTAATTTGTTTCTAAATAAAGTTCTAATTTTGGACCCACAAACATCCACCAAAATAAGAAAGGATTGCCTTTAGCTGTTTTCTAGTGGTAGTTTCAGAACCTGTATAAGAAATTAGACAACTGTAATGCTCATGACACTTCCTAACTGATTAAATTCTATCTTGACTGCCATTCTTCACAATTTTTATGTTTCATCCTTCCTTCTCTGATTGTCAACTTTAAGATGACAGTGATAAAACAATTTTGTCTTGAATTCATAAGACACATGTGCCCTTACAGTGCTGTGGCTTAAGGGAACTAGACTCCTTCTAACAATTTGATTCAAGTTACTTCTTTTCCTCAGACTGCTGCTGCCTGATCCCAATAGCTGATTTGCAGCAAGCAATGCATATGGAGCTGAGAAAGGAAGGCAATCCATTATATTGTTAACAATGTAAGCATAGTCTGAAAACAGGCACAGGAAAAATTCAAATACTCTCAGGGTGCAAGATCTGATTAATTGATAAATCCTAGGCTTCAAAAAGTGGTTAGGTACCAGACTTACTCCTTAGCCACATGTGATGTCCTTGAAAGCACTAGAAAATTGCAGCCCAATCCTGTGGGTCCCCAAGAGCTTCTCTGAACGCGTATGCATCAGAATGCCTCCATCATGATTCCCCTGCTAGAGTAACATGCACTCCAGACCACCAACTAAGCTCCAACATAAAGCTTCTCAAACAAGACAGAGGTATAGCCATCACACAAATGTACCATAATCACCCTTATTCTGGAGACAAGCCTACCACTGACACTGACTGGGTATAGTTCACTCCCCGTATCAGAATGACCAGAGTTGCAGCACACTCAGACTCAAAATACTTTCCTTTTTTTTTATTTTAAAGTAGAGGCTGTAGACTGCTTGTAACAAAGCAGACTGCTTGAACTAGTACACTGCTCGGAACAAACAGTATGTGCTCTACAGTCAGGATACTGAAAGATACCCATACTGCTGCCTGCAACCCCTATCCACCTTTTTGACAGGAAAACTGAGTATTGGCATGATCTCCAGGAAGGGTGCTCTGATTAACTCCTGGAAGACAGACAACAAGTTAGCTTTTATAGTCCCAAGAGCCATGTTTATGTCCTGCAATTGCTGACACTTTTCAGCATGCTTTCTCCCACTGTAGAGGAAAACAAGCTTTACAATACACAAAAGAAGTATGACTATTACTTACAAATTTCCTCAAGACTGAGAAAGTTTGCTGCTGCATTCAATTTTTCACTTTCAGAGGGAAAAAAATGTAGGTCCAGGTGAAATCCAGGTGCACATGCAAAAAGAAAACCACTCCAATAACCATGATAGAACCTTCTTCTGTTTTACCCTGAGCAGAAGAATCCTCTGGATAGTTTGAGACCTTGACATCAATCAAAGTCCTTTACTAAAGCTTGCTATTTTTCTTACAGTACATACCACAATGTCCTTTCTGTCCTCCTGCCAGCTTCCAACATCTGTGGCAAATAGTTTTTTAAAAGCAAAGTATATTCTAAACTGTACAAATTGCTCCTCAGTACTGCTGCTGCACGTTTCTGCCACAATCAAATGAAAAAGACAGGAAAAAACAGAACTATTTATCAAAAGACTCCATGTGACAATTTAAATGTTGATGTAAGTACACCTACTTCTTTAGGAAACTTCCCCATTATTGGAAAGTTCCCCAAGTGGGAAAATTCTGTATTGCTAACAGTGGTTCACTGTAACCAAACACACGAATGCTGCAAAAACTTGAACATAAAATGCCATGGGCACTTTAAGAAACACATAATCTAATCAAAGCTATGTGTAAGCACCAGTCCTTGGAATACCGATTGCGGGTGGTTATCCATCTACACACACTCAGGGTCCTAGATTATTAATCTCAAGCCACGCCAAAAAGCTGCTAACAACAACTAGAACTTCCCACACAACTTTCTCATGTCTGTAAAGGTCATAGGAATAGAAATAATGTAGGAATAACGGGAAAAGCATTTCCTGCCCTCCTCTTGTAAAGACAGATATTCTCTTCCCAAAATTTGAACACAGTGAAGGCCACTTGCCTTGCTAGTGTGTAGTGAAAAAAGAGTTCCTAATCCTATATACTACATTAGCAAAAAATAGAGAATACTATCTTTTTCATTTTCTTGATTCTAGAAGTCCTTTAAGAATACAGAACCCCACCTCCCCCCTCAAGCATTAGAAGCAAAAAGATAAACTCACATTAACTTGTAGACTGTACAGGGAGAACCGAGTCAACAGCACAATAATACAACTCTAACCATATGTTTCAGTGTAAATTCATTCTCTTGTCTTCACATACATCAGAAAAAGGTTGAAATTCTCAGAGTTAAAATACTGTAAAATGAACACTCTAAAAATTTTCACTGTTTTCTTCTTTCCACTTGACAGCCTGTTCACAGTACCTGTCATGGAAGAAAAAACACGTAATGTACAAAACTGATATGGTTCACGTTTTTACTTGATGTGTGAGATGAATGTGGAAACCGTGGTATATAAAATAGCTGAATGTAACATTTAGGTTGTAACAACCTGAAACTACCTTAGGAGATTGAGGGGGTGGATATTCGCAGTAGGTGAGACCGATAAATGTTAATTTCCACTGTTTTTTTTGCTGCTCTTAAAAATAGGCTAAGTTATATTGTCTCAGTAAAGGAAAAAAAAAGGTGCAACAGAAAGAAACTGAAACACATTTATAAAATACCGTGAGATCACAGAAGCCACCTTTCAACGTAGTGACCTTTCAATGTCAGGAAATTCAGGAAATTAGTTTCTGCTTTTTCACTGCTTACCTTGAGGTCACAGGGTTGCATTTTTCATGTAAATTTTTAGCAGCAAACAAAAGACCTGGACAGGTGGTGTTTTGCTTTGTTGAGTTTCTTTTTGTTCTTATTATTTAATTTTGTTGCTTCTACACATATGTTCCTATATACATACATACACACACACATATACACATCTACATGCACACAAGCACATCTTTGCACATCTTACCACTGCTGTGGTGGAGTTTGAGTTTTGGGGTTTTTTCACCTGTTTTGCAACGAACTTCCCGGACACCTATCTCAGTCCTGCCTGCCACCGTGCATTCCCAAGCAGACGCCTTCAGGGAGCACGCCCCCGGGCAGGCTCGGGTGGCCGCCGGTGCCGTGGTCACCTCAGGGTGGGATGAGGCCGGCGCAGCACCGGGACGGGCTCCGGCCGCCAGCAGCCCCGCGCCCCGCATTGCCGCCGTCCGGCTCCTCCTAGCCTGGCGGCTCCTCCCTGCCTGGGGCTCTCTCCGCCGCGGCCGCCGCAGCTGTGCGGAGCGCCTCCCGCCCCATCTCGGCCAGGCCTCGGTCGGACCAGGTGTGCTACACTCCGGCCCCGGCCCCGGCCCCGGACCTCTCGCTGCCTCTGCGGCTGCGCCGGCCGCGGCAGTGCCGGGAACTGCTCCCGGCCGCGGCCCTTCGCGGAAAGCCGTGCCGAAAACCCCCCGCGCCGTGCTCCTGCGCCTCACCCTTCCCAGCGCTTCAGGCCTGGCGGAGCAGGGAGTTCTCCAGGCAACCTCTCTGTTCCTGAGAGCCGTGAGCTCTAAACAACAAAACCAAAAGCAACATCAGTACTGCCTCACCCTGCGTCTGTTGCCTTTTCTTTATCCTTTCTTTTTTGACATGGTGAGATCATTTATTGTAAATGGATTGCTTGCACTTTCTAAACGGATGCATTTCCAGTACTCATGCGGAGGACTGGAAATACATCACAGTATCCAGGATATCCATGAATTCCCGGAGCTATGTCCTGCTTCTCGAGAGACAAAGAAGCAATTTATTTTAATAGCTCTGTTCCCTGCTATTTAAAGAGCCTCCTGGGAAACAACCTCCAATTTAATAAATTGATAATATGATCTGGACATTCAGTGTTGTGTATAGTTTTTATGCTGCAATAATATTTCTTAGGTTATGAAACATAACAAGATCAGCCATAACTTTTCTGCGAGAAAGCAACCTGAAATAAGAATATTACTCAGGACATTACCAAAGAACCAAAGAGTGGTTATGAGAGTGTTTTACTAATGAGTGTATTTACAGGGTAAAATATAAATCAAATACAAAATTGTGATACACGGTAGCATAGACGTCTAAGAGATGTGTACTGAAAGAGGGGAAGGACACCCAAACCTCTGTGCTCTCTATACCCTAAGCATCAGGTACTGCCACCTGCAGTATGAAGTTAATGGTTTTGTGGGCCATAAGCCAGCAGGTGTTTGAGAAACCACAGGAATCCCTACCGGGAAGCCATCAGGTTTTCTGTTGATACAGCACATTGATGTGGAGGTTTTTAACAGCAATCGGTTTAATTATGTTCAAATCTTCCAAAAACATATGAGTCCCTCAGAAAGAAGACTGTTGATATTAGGTTATGCAATAAAAACTCCTCTGCACACCCCTCACACTCCTCTGCACACCCCTCACACTCCTCTGCACACCCCTCACACAGACAGACAGACTGCTGTCGCTGCTGCTTCCAGGCCCTTCCCATAGGATATCAGCCCAACAGAGACATATCTCCACAAGCACAGAGAAGCACAGAGGTCTCAAGGCAGGTAGGAGCCCAAACAGATGACTTAGAGGAAGCTCTCATTTTAAGAAGCTTCAAATTGTTTAGCAATAAACATGACATTTGTAAATGGCAAATTTACTTACACAACTATGTGGTGTACGTGAGTTACAAAAGAGTCACAAGACCAGACAAAATAATCGTAAGCCAAGCTATGACGTTTCTTTCCAGTAAGAACAAAAAATGACTGCAAAAACATTCCCAGATTGAAGTGGAAGCTTCTAGTTTATGATAAATGCTTTAAGTTAACTAAGACCAGATAACATAGGGACTTCCCCTACAACAAACAAAAAATGCTGTGTCAAAGCTACAGGCTTATCTTTGCTCTGTGTAGCTGCTAGGATTTTCCTTCACACAGTTCCTATTTTCAAAAGTCAAATAGTAAAACAAAAAAATAGGTAAAAATCTACAAGGTTGCAATCATCTTTCTTCATTAATGTAAAATATTAGAAGTCTGGATTGTTTTGCTGAACATTCATTCCTAAAATGTAAAAAGAAAAGTTACTCTTACAAGTTAAATAATTAGTTATTATGGGGTTAAAATGTTTTCTGGTCATCTATGTTTACAGTCAGTACACTTCTGGCATACTTAAGTAAATATACTGTAAAACAAGGAAATTGGCTTGCTAAACAGTACAAATTCAGGACATTGGTCTTCAATTTATTTCTTCAGTTTCTTTCAAACTAGCTGTTTTGACTGATAAATTTTGGAATTCAATTTTGTAGATAATCTTTCAATTTCAATTAAATCAGTCAGGCAGACTGATACAGATACAGCCTACTTTCCAGATACTAGTTCTACAAGCTATCTCTAGCATAATATGTTTCCTTCTCAATCTGGATTATATAATTGAAGAGAATAATGAATTGTTTAACATTCAAGTCATTATGGTAGAATTCAAACTGATGCATCCAAGTGCATTACATATAAAGATAAGAGGAAGAACACTTGCTTTCTTTCAAATATTTCTTCTAGTTCTAATTCTGTGTTCCTCTTTCTTCCTCATAATGTAAAAATCACAAATAAATTACCTAATAAAAATCTGTGTCAGCTCAAATTACAACTATTTCATTTTTACTTGACTCTTTTTTTTTTTTTAAATTAGGTATCACAGTCAGCATTTCCAAGGTTCAATCATTTTTGGACCAGCTGTTTGTGGAGAAAATATGCCTTATAATTTAAATATTATTTTAAACAATATGACAAGAACAAGTGAGACATGACTGCCTGTCTAATGGATACCAGATTTGTGTTACTTTAAATGTTACTTTTTTTTAAAATGTCTTTATGACTTTGCATGGGTCTTTTGTAATGGCAGCAATACCTGTTGCTTTCTGGACTAGAGAAATACTGCCTACCTTCAGAAATGCTGACAATCTAACAGCACCGTGCAATATATGATGCTGTCTGATTTTTTCCTCTCCATACCATGACCTGACAGACTGGGAATTAGAACAGGAGAGGCTATATCCCCCAGTGTGGTGCCATGAATATTTACAATATCAGTGAAATCCTATAATTCAAGCCACAAGTGGTACCAATCAAGAGAGGTAAGAGCTGCAGCCCCTGCTGCAAGTGGGCTCCTGCTAGTGTTTGAAGTCTGATGTAGCTCAAAGCAGTCTCCCTTCCACAGGCAAGAATCGCAGTGGTTTCTTATGCCCTATGGAAACTAGTCTCCATTCTCCATGCTACTTCTTAAGTCCTAGATCCTTTCTTCAGAAACCTGTACTGTTTTTCTAGCAAAAAGTCACAGTTCTGCTCCTCCACCTCTCCCTTATCTGTTCCAGTATTATTGAAATCTGCTGCCCCATCGTGCTAACCCCTCCATAGAAAGCAGATCTCTGTAACACAGAGGTTTGCCAGGGCTGCACTACAGAGGTCTAGTGCACTCTGAAACTCCTTTCTCCTCAAGGAAAGATTTGGACAGACCAAAATGGTTTGCTTGGTTGCAAGGGGCTCAGTGGGTGAAGATGGATGGTATCTTTGGTAACCTGCTTTGAAAGATTGTTATAGTCTCACAAATTTATCAGTCACAAGTCTCTCTGATGAAGTCTCGTTAAATACCTGTCAGTGGCTGCCAGTGCAATAGTGCCATCTTGCGTGGAGCTGGAGTATACCAATAAATTTCTCCCCTGGTTCTCTGCTGCATCAGAGATCCAGGGGAGAAATTAAATACTTGTTGAATACTTCAAAAAGTCACAGACATTTTCAAAATATCACTACAATAATTCAAGTTCTTGGAAGTTCTTTACTTCAAGTTTTTACTTCAAGTAAAAATGCTAAGCAAGTTTCCACAAGAGAAAAATATTAAAATATTTTTTCCTTACTTTTTTCTCATTTTTGCTCTACCAGTAAAAAAAAAAAAAAAAAAGAGTAAAAATGGGAAGACAGCTGTCTTCTTAGTATTTTTTTAAAGAAAACTATTTGGAAAATGCCCAAATTTAGAAAATAAGTATTGTCAAAACCAGCATTTGCAGATCAAGATATCAGCAAATTGAAGGAGTAGACTGTTTCTGGAAAAATATTAATTCTTGCAGTAAGACAAGATGTCAAATTGCACTGTGAGGTGGTGTTCAAAGTGCTGTGTATCCTCACAGACTCAAGTGAAAGGAAAACTGAATGAGATACTCTTTAGTGCCAAAAGAATTCTGGATATTAGAGCATGCTGTTAATATTATCAGGGCTGTAGATTTGATCCCCATATGGGCCATTCATTTAAGAGTGAGACTTGATGATCCTTGTGGGTCTCTTCCAACTCAGAATATTCTGTGATTTTGTAATTCTAGCACTTATTTGTATCACTGTTTTAAAGGCCAACTGACAGAACATAATTTCTGACTCAGTATTTTTAAGTATGAAAATTTAGTTAAAAATACTGAGTCAGAAATTTAAGTATGAAAAGTATGAAAATTTAGTTTCTTTGGATTTCAAAGCCAGCCTGTAATTACAGATGATGATGTCATGAAAACATTCTGACACATGATGAAAGGCAGAGCAAGATAAAAAGCGTTAAGCAACAAAGGCATTTTTAATTATTTTCCTTGTTGATTTACATGTATTGCCTAGATGTATCACCCCCGAGTGGTAAGCCTACCAGGGCCTGTGTGTCTATTGGGATGGGTTTCTTCAAATTTCTTGAGATAGTTTCTATAGCGGAAGAGTGGCGGGACCCAGGACAGGCTCCTCCCGGGGGCGGCTCTCCTCATCCTCACCCGGTTCTCCTGGCTCGCCGGCACCCCCTGTTTCGTGTTTTCTGCGCTGCAGGGTGCGATGGGGTTCGTCTCCTCGAAGGCCATGAACCTGAAAGCCTGAAAAGGCAGCAGGAGCTTACCGGCTGCGGGTACCAGAGTGCGGGGGAGGCTCTCCCGCGGCTCACTGCCTGGCCACGGCCGGACTGGCAGCTTCACCTGCTGAACTGCGCTGTCCTCCCAGGGTTAAAGGTGCTCCGCCAGTTCCTGTGTGGTTACCTGGTGCAGCAGGTTCAGGTGTGTAAAGCACCTGTTCTCTGTGTCAAAAGACTTCCTCAAGAGTCTGTCTTAACAAGTTGTAGAAGTGGAAACTATCATTGAAGTAGCTAGACCCTAAAAATAGTTTTGGAAACCTACTTTGAAAAGTACATTTATGTTGAAGTTGAGCTGTGTTACTGCATTGTAACACTGGAGTGTTAAGAAACATATATATGTTAAAGTGAATCTGTTATAATGGAGTTGCTAAAACATGGATCTTGTACTCTTAAAAGATATGAGTTAAATATGTTTCAACTCTCCCACCATTAAAAAAATCTTTTAAACAGTTCTTTCTTTAAGTTCAATCAGGTTGCTGCAGCTGAATTTTTCTAGAAACTCAGAATAGGGCATGGGATGTTTTATTCCCTCTCATAAAATAAGAAAATATCAGCAAAGAAAAAAGAAAACCAGTTTGATTAGGGCTCAGAAAGTTGTGCTGAACAGACCTACAGTATAGCACTAGCTTTCTGATTTATTGTTAAATATCTTGTAACTTATAATATTTATATGCCAAGTGCTAGAATGCAATCTGAAGGATTTAGTTGGAGTCCATTCCTTTAGTTATGCATTTAAATTGAACAGGTAAAATTTTTAGAATGTTTAAAGTAGTGATGGATGAACTTCCAATTTACTAAATTGCCAGTAGATGGCATATTCTAGTTTATAAAGCAGTGTGCAGTAGTAGGTTTTGTAGGATCACAAGTTAACTCCGAATGTGACCTAAGAAGAAGAAACATAGCATAAGGAAAGATTATATAATAAAAGAGTGGATAACTCTTAAGTGTTCAAAGAAGAGCAACCTTTTGCATGACTTGTAGACATCATTTTCTGTCTGTGCTGTGTTACATGTTTCTTAGATGCAAACACAAGTTTTGTGTACAATTTTTCCCCCCTCCTGCAGTGAGGTCTCCTCCTACCCCCAAGGTTTTTGGAAATCCAAATAACAGGAAGATTTTCAGTTTGACAGATTGATAGTGAAATTACAGTGGAAGCTTGCTTCACAAACTGCTTCTCTGTTGGGTAAATAAAATTGAGGAAAGAGCTTGAATTCAAGCTAACATTTGTAGAGGTAGCTGCAGAGTTTGAATGCCAGTCTTTGCCTTGGCTAGTTCTAGCTCAAACGCTCAGGCACTTATAAAAAACAAACTTTGAAAGCAGTTACAAAAATTCCCTTTCAAAATTATATATAAATGTCCAAAATTTTTGCAAGTTGTTCTTCAGGAACTTCCCCTTCACTGTATTTCTTCTTTTTGACAATAGTTACACTGAGAATAGTATATTTCTTTCTAGCACTGCAAACACCTGATAATCTCTGATTCCTACTGTGTTTGCAGACACACCTGCCATGTTAGAAAAGCCCCATCTTTTGAAAATACATGAAGTGTACAGCTGAATCGGGTGTAAAAGATTCAGTGGGGGCCAGGAAGAGAGCTAAATTCCATGTGATTAGGGGATGGAAGAATGTAGCCCTGCTTCAAACTTGGGGAGAGTGTAGGGAAGAGGGAAGACTGCCATTTGTCTTTTCCATATGTGACTAAAATCTGTGATGTGGAGTTTACTGCTAGACTTTCAAGCTATTTGTAGAAAAATATATAACCTGATATATGTGCTTTAGACAAAATTGTGACTAGAAATGCTTGGAGAAGTTAGGTCATGCTAGGACCAGAATGAAACAGCTTAACTTAAAGCATTGATATATATTCTTACGGTGAAATACTGGGACTTGGATGCTATCAGTTCACCCATCTTTCTCTGAAAACCATCATATTTATTAATAAAATAGAAGCTTACACTTGAAGCAATATGATGTACTTATACAATATGTTCTTGTATAAGATATTCAAAAATAGTGATTTGTTTTAAATGTAAATCGACCCCAAAACAACATGTGGGATCCGAACTTCTCAGAGCTTTTCATAGCTTCTGAACGTTCTTAAAGAATCCCATGATTAAGATGTTAAAGAAATAGGGTAAAATTGTCACTCCAAGCTAATTGATGTGGATCAACAAGTCATCAAAATTGTTTCACCTAGAATGCTTGCCTACTATCAGTATGTTGTGACAGTGCACAGAAATTAGCTAGTTACTCTTTGGGTAGACCTGGAATGAAACACAGTAGGTATTGGTGAGAGAGTCAGAGATTTTTGTGCTATTAATTTCTGTGACAGAACACTTTTTTTTTTTTTTTAAGAAAACAATCCCGAATAGGTGTATGCTCTCCTCTGAAGAGAGAGAAAATGCAAAGCTGTTTAGTGATTGACTTATTTCATGTGGAAGATTGTAGATTTGAAAGAGACAGTTGCAAAAATAAGAAGACAATAACATGATAAAAGTTGATAAAGATTTCTCCACATCACCAACTGTGGTGCATGCTAAAGCTCAGTCAGTTTTAGTCATTCTGGTATGTGCTGGACAGCCAAACCAGCTTGACTATTTTAGCATAAGACAATATTAAAAGATGTTGTGCATGTTTTTTTTCTTTATGCCTTTCTTGGGATAACTCTGAAAAGGAGGCATTGTGGCCTTGTAAATTGTATCTTAATGCTTTTTGGAAGAATAATAAAACCTCAACTCTTTGCCTTGATGTTGAAGGACTTGCCAGTTGTTTGTAGTGTCTTTGTGTGGCTCCAGAATGAAATACCAGTCTGTGTCAAGTGGAGACTGTTTGTGGTAGAAGTTTGTTGAGGCTTCGTTTTTATCACAAGCCTGCTCCTTAAAGTGTAGCTTGCAAAATTATTTTCAAACACTTTACTATCTCAGATCTACAGCTCAAGACTAGTATATGGCCTTGCAGAGTGCTTTTAGTGAGGCTGAATAGGCTAGAGCAGGTCTCTGCTCCAGGCCACAGAGCAGTTTTAGCAGATTTTTATTTTTTTAATGAGTTCTATGTGTCCTCTTAACACAATTAAATGTGGGAGTTGCAAATATTTTTTTAGTTTTAGTTCTGTACTTTCTGTTCTAGTTTTCTTTTATTCCTTGTCTTTTTTTAATATCCCAAATGTATACCTTAAGAAAGCTATTGCAATAACTATTTATTAAGAAAGCCATTTTAAAATGTACAAGGCAGCCTGGAAAAAGATGCGTATCTGAAAGTGGCAAGTAAGAATGCAGAAATGTTTGTGGCCAATTATGCTTTCCTCAATATGGATCAGAACACTTTAAATATTTCTTATTAATATTTCTAGATGGTGACCTTACTGGCTAGAACTAGGTGTCAAGAAGCCTGACAGGTTGCTTTTAAATAAGAAATTGTCTGACTTCACATACTGTGAAGATATATTGAAGATACTTCCTAAAGACTTTATTGTGATGAGAGAGACTTAAGTTTGGTTAAATGCATAATACAAGTGTATTGCCTTCAAATTTAAAAATACAAAAACAATCTTGTATACTCTGTGTAGCGTTATTTAGAATGATAAGAAGCAAAATCATGGTAGAAGATCACAGTACAGATTTAAATTTTAATTACCTGCCAAATAATTTGATTCTAGGATTGCATAAAGCAGAGCTTACTAACTTTGCACTTCAGAGTAGTATTTTTGCAGTGATGTGTAAAAGACATTCTAAGCACAATTCAAAAGGCTTTTGATTTAGGAGCCTCACATAGAAAAGCCTAAGTCCTCCTGCCAAATTTTAGCCAGATTTCCTAATACATAGAGAGGAATCAAAAATTCTCTCTTTAGTTTTGAACAGAACCCCACCAAGTCAGTACTATGCCATTACCTCCTGTGACACCCCACTCCACTCTGCCAGTTAGATTTTAGTTTATGTGCTGCTGTTATTTTTATACTGATTTTGGCTCTAAAAAGTTGCTTTTCTTTTCTTTCCTTGGGAAGCACTACTCAGGGGAAACTGATTAATATCCCAGTTTTCCTGTATATAGCATGTCTGCACTACTTGAAAGGTAACCCTACAGAGGAGAAAGCTGAGATTTTGTTTTAATAACAGGGTTTTTGTTTATTTTTCCCAGTGGTATTATAAGAAGACGAAGATATCTTGATGTGTATAGGAATAGTACTGCATAATAAGCAGTGTTTTCTAGTCCATACAACTAAAAAAATTAAGTCCTAGTAGCATTTAAAATCCTTCATGACTGTTTTCAGGTATATCTCAGTGAATAAGTTCTATTACTTAATTAGAAGAATTTTTTTCATTGGAACTCCACAAATAATTGGTGATACACTGAATCCTTTATTGACTGACCTTTTTTACTGTTTCTCATATAAGCTTCATCATTAATAATGAGATCTGAATTAAGGAATACTTTGTAATTTTGTTGTATCACTCTTTTCTCTATTATGAGATGATAGATGGAAAGGCATGGATGAAAAGACTGATTTGCTTTAATATGTTTATATATAACAATCAGACCTAGGGTTTAAGTGCATCTCTTGACGTTGTCAAGTCATTGAAGTTTTCACCTAGATGCATTTCTGGGAAAACTTTACAAAAAAGCAGTGAGGAGAGAAGCAGTGATTCAGAGTCAGAGAATGGAAGAGACAATTGTGTTGCATAAGGGCCTGCTTAGAGAAGTGAAGTAAACAGGGTAGTAAATGGAGCACAAAGAATTCTCACAAAGAATAAGCTGTTGCAGAGCACTTTACTCTGGTTTTGAATTCCTGGGGTTTGATGCAAATGCCAGGAAATGAAAAACCTCAGTGTTTTCCCCAAATCAAAAAATTAATCGCATTCTTCCATCCTAAAAAGGTGTTTCTACTACAGCAGCACAATAGGAGCATTCTGCTGTTGCAGCAGATATTAAATAAAGAAGCCTAGAATGTATCTAGTCCTGGCAGAAGCTTTTATGAGACAGTGCGCTGGGATTTTCTGCAGTGTTGATGGTTCTGGACAAAGGAAGTCTGTACATGCTCAAGCACAGATGTACACAGCCTGAGAAACAAGCACAAAGAACAAGAGCTGTCTCTGGTCACAGTACTGCAACGTCATGGGAATAACTGAGATATGGTAGGACAGTTCAT